GGTATATAAGCAGCGATCGTAAAAGCTTCGAAAGCCACGGCCACTCGGTTCCATTATGCAACGCAACGTGTTCCATTCTAAAGCTCGAAACTCCGTTTAAAACATAGGGGATCCCATGTGACGCCGGTCTAGTCAGCCTTGAAACGCCATCCCATCCATCTAATCCACGCGACGATCCACGAAACCATCAATCATCCGAATTCGTCCGAGCCACAAGCAATTAAGCTTACTCCTCTCCTCTCTCTATCTTTCTCTCTCTTCGTTCATCCTCCTCTAGCCCTCTCCACGTACACCAATCCGTTCGACTTCCTCTGGCACCCCCTTAACGATCGCGCCGGCTTCCGGCTATCGATGGCCAGCGTTCGCCTAATCCGATAAGAAGCCGATAAACGCGAGTTCCATGGCAGCAGGTTCATTTCGCTTGCACGGGAACCGTGTCAAAGCCTATCGCAGCCTGCAGGTTTGCACTTCGTTATATCTCTCCGGGGCGTTGGCTGCGCCGCGGACTCAAAGACGACGTAATTGCATCTCGTGCGCAATATACGCTACTTACGTATCTCTTAATTAATTCGCGCCTCGCCCCGCCCGGTAATTATTTCCATATCGCCAGACACGTACCCCCGTGACCCTCCTGCGTCGCCTCGACGACGACGACGACAGCCACGCCGAGGAATAAGTCGAAAGTGGCGCTAGTGTCGCGAGTATCGAGTATTCCTAACCTAACTTTTTCGTATAAAATTTCCTATATTTTTCTTTTATTTTTCTTTTATTTTTCTTTTATTTTTCTTTTATTATTCTCTTTTCCCTCTTTCGTTTCTCCTCATTTCTATTTATTTTCCTCATACTTGCTCCTTCCGTTGCATCGAGTAATATGTTAGCAGCAAAAATGCTGCGTCTTAGTGATTCATGTTTGTTTTCGTCTTTCTCGCGTAATTTTTCACTTCTCTTCGAAAGTTGCGCTAGCGTCGCGAGTATTGAGCATTACTAACCTAACTTTTTCGTACAAAAGTTCCTTTATTTTTCATTTATTTTTCTTTTATTTTTCCTTTATTTTTCTCTTTTCGCTCTTTCGTTTGTCTTCGACAGCGACGCCGAGGACCAAGTCGAAAGTGGCGCTAGTGTCACGGGTATCGAGCATTCCTAACCTAACTTTTTCTTTTATTTCTCTTTTATTTTTCTTTTATTTCTCTTTTATTCTTCTTTTATTTTTCTTTACTCTTTTTTTATTTTTCTCTTTTCCCTCTTTCGTTTCTCTTCATTTCTATTTATTTTCCTCACTTTTTTTCTTTTCATACTTGCTCCTTCCGTTGCATCGAGCGGCATGTTAGCAGCAAGAATGCTGCGTCTTGGTGGTCCATGTTTGTTTTCGTCTTTCTCTCGCGATTTTTCTCTTCTTTTTCCCGTGTCCATGATTAATTACACGTCGTCGAGATAGCAGTCGAATGTGCCAGTGGGGAGAGGAAAAGAAGACTTATCATCGCGAGACAATTACGAGCTTTACGAGTTTTGACCTCGTGGTCGAGCGAGCTAATCGACGGGATATTATTAGCCCCGTTGATTTCGTTCGCGGATCGTGGCTGCTTTTAGAGGCCTGATCGACGTGAAATCGAATCAATTCGTTGATTTTTTGGTTTCGTCGCAATGGACGCTTCGGTAGATAATTATTCATCTGTACCTGCTATCTTGCTCGACGTAACGTCAAATTATCCTATTTATACAGAATTGGTTTTGTCTTCAGTTACTAATAAAAAATTTATTCTTCATCTAGAAATTGCCACGATATAATACAATTACATAATAAATACACTATTGTATATCATATACAATTTCAGAGAGGTACATCGTCACCCCGAAAATTAACCAAAAAATTCTTTGTTTCGTGCATTTAGGTAGAAAGGAAATTTAATTTTGGGGGAAGGTTACTTCTAGACTCTTGATTCACGATTGTATCGAGCTTCCGTTAATGTTCGATGAATTTATCTATTTTTGGAGAACGCGAAAAGAAAATCGGATTTTCGAGGAACGCGATCGGACTCGCGAATGCCGGGACGTAAAATTCGTACATACGTACGTACAATGTTTATCGAGTGGGAATAAATCTATTTATACAGCGAAGATAAGGTTACACGATGCTAGATAAATTGTTGCTAAAAAACACTTGTAGCCTGCTCCTCGATCGATCTTGCCTATACCGGTTTTATCGCGGTGATAAATATTTGTGCGAATAAATATTTATATTAAGCATGACGTCGCGCGTTATTTCCAATGTATCTCGAAATACAACTCGAAACGATTTATTAGACAGCTATATTTAATAATTCCCGAGGAAACGGCTCGTAACAGTTTCTATAGCTCTCATCCTGTGTGCTCTTCGTAACCTTGGCTGCCATCTGTTATCATTTCTCAGAATTGCTTTGCATCTCCTCTCTCTCTCGCTATCGCTCTCTCCTTCTGTCTTCTTCTCCCTTCTCTCTGCCAGTACTTGCAATTTAAATGAGAGAGAGAGAGAGAGAGAGAGAGAGAGAGAGAGAGAGAAAAAAAGGAAGAAATTGGAAAAAAGAAAATTCGAAGGATATTTCGAACGAGTGAAATAACGACACGAGATTGGAACGAAATAAAATGGCACTGAAGCATCATCCTCGTCGTACCATCTGTCCTCGTTTATTCGTTGGGCATACAGATAATCGAGAAATTCCTCAACCTCTTATTTGCACAATACATATTAAATATATAACACGGTTTGCAGCTACAAAATTGTACATCCTCCGCGCGTACCGATCATTTGGAGCGGGTCCAATTGGAGAAAGAAACGATTTAAAAGACATCCTACGGGTCTCCTATTATCACGATTAATCGAACTCACGTCACATTCCGTCGGCCACACCTTCGGCTACTCCGAAGCAAACGGATACCTGTCACGGTGCGCAATGTAATATTTACACTTCGATTAAGCCTAACAGTCGCCGGAGGATCGGCCGATCAGGGCCTGATTCGCGGGAAATCGGGGGCATCAGGGTGGGGAGCGAAGACGCGCCATTTTTCCGGGAGCAACGTGCCAAAATCTGTCCGCCTCCGCCGTTCCCGGCTGATCGACGATCCCAGGTATGCAAATAGTTCCTGAAATACACGACACACCGGTTCAGTTAGAATAATCCGCCCTCGGTGTCGTTGCTCGCGCGCGATCATCGTTACCTTTCTGTCCGCCTCGGTCACTCATCGGCATCCTGTTTGCAAACGGAAAAGAAAACGGCAAGGGAAGCAATAATCCGTTAAATTATCAGGACGAGTCCGTGCTATGTACATAGGCTACGCGACGTAGGAATCTGCATGAGGGAACAAAAGAATCGCTATAATAGGCATCGACGTGGCTCGTGTCCAACCAACGGGACAACCTAAACGATGCACTGTTATGTGTCGTAACGTCCGATACGACGTCGGATGGGCGCGTCGATCGAATAGCAATGGCGGAATTAAGCGATTCTCCTCTTCATCTGACATCTTCGTCATTCATCGTCTCCCCATCGTGCAGGTTCGCGGTATCCGAACCATGCTCATAGGCTGCTTCTCTTCGAACTGTTTACACTGGTCATAACAGTCGAGAATGTTCCCAGAAACGTGACATGTCAAATCGCAATTGCAGGTTCACGATATTAGTATTGTCTATTGAACCATGTTCATGGGCTGTTTCTCTTTGAACTATTTACACTATTCATAACAGTCGAGAATGTTCCCGGAAACGTGACATGTCAAATCGCAATTGCAGGTTCACGATATTAGTATTGTCTATTGAACCATGTTCATAGGCTGTTTCTCTTCGAACTGCTTGCACCGTTCATAACAGTCGAGAATATTCCCAGAAACGTGACATGTGAAATCGCAATTACAGGTTCGCGCTGTTCCACTTCGAACAGTTTACACTGTTCATAACAGTCGAGAATATTCCCAGAAACGTGGCATGTCAAATCGTAATTGCAGCTTCGCGATATTCGTATTGCTTATTGAACCATGTTCATAGGCTGTTTCTCTTCGAACTGCTTGCACCGTTCATAACAGTCGAGAATATTCCCAGAAACGTGGCATGTCAAATCGTAATTGCAGCTTCGCGATATTCGTATTGCTTATTGAACCATGTTCATGGGCTGTTTCTCTTTGAACTGTCTATATAGTTCATAACAGTCGAAAATATTCCCAAAAATGAGGCATGTCAAATCGCAATTGCAGGTTCGCGCTGTTCTTTTTCGAACTGTTTACACCGTTCATAACAGTCAAGAATATTCTCAGAACATGACATGTTAAATCGCAATTGCAAGTTCGCACTGTTTCTCTTCAAACTATTTACACTGTTCTTAACAGTCGAGAATATTTTCAGAAACATGACATGTCAAATTGCAATTGCAGATTCACGATATTCGTATTGTCTATTGAATCATGTTCATGGGTCGTTCCTCTTTGAATTGTTTGCACTGTTCATAACAGTTGAGAATATTCTCACAAACGTGACATGTCAAATCGCAATTTCACGTTCAAGCTGTTCCTCTTCGAACTGTTTACACCGTTCATAGCAGTCGAAAATATTTCCAGAAACGTGACATGTCAAATCACAATTGCAGGTTCGCGATGTTAGTATTGCCTATTGAACCATGTTCATGGATTGTTCCTCTTCGAACTGTTTACAGTGTTCATAACAGTCGAAAATATTCCCAGAAATGAGGCATGTCAAATCGCAATTGCAGGTTCACGCTGTTCATCTTCGAACTGTTTACACCGTTCATAGCAGTCGAAAATATTTCCAGAAACGTGACATGTCAAATCACAATTGCAGGTTCGCGATGTTAGTATTGCCTATTGAACCATGTTCATGGATTGTTCCTCTTCGAACTGTTTACACTGTTCATAACATTCGAAAATATTCCCAGAAACGTGACATGTCAACTCGCAATTGCAGGTTCACGCTGTTCCTCTTCGAACTGTTTACACCGTTCATAGCAGTCGAAAATATTTCCAGAAACGTGACATGTCAAATCGCAATTACAGGTTCACGATATTCGTATCGTCTATTGAACCATGTTCATAGACTGTTCCTCTTCTTACTGTTTACACCGTTCATAACAATCGAGAATACTCCCAGAAACGAGGCAATTCGAACACGTCGTTTGCTCGTGTCTGTCAAAACATTTCACACATCGGAATAAGATAATACACATTGTTGTTGAATTACAACAAGATCTACTCTATATTTTCAGCGGTTTTCGGAAAGCTGCTGCTCTTCTCCCTCGCGATGTGATCAAATCCATAGAATAACCACAATCCATTCGGAAGAACTCAGGTGATCGCAACGAGAACAACTTTCCCTCCTCTATATCTCTGGCTGCGTAACCAGAAACATGACGCATAAACCGTTGCCAAACCGGGACACGATGTCATGTCCCATCCACAATCCGCGCCGGTTCGCCAGCCTGCATCCACCGTGTCGCGCGAAAGCGAGATCGAACATCGATCCTCAATTACTGACGGATCTGTTGCCGCTCTCCATCGAGCCACGCCGAGCGCTCTCTGTCCTCATGATCACCCCCTGAGCGATGCCATAGTGTTCGAACGGATCCTTCCCATAGAATACCGTCTCCTCGACCCGGTGAGGCACTCTGTGCTTCGGCGGAGTGGACGTCCTTGCTGGCGTGGCCGTGGGGCTGTTCTTAGGGGTGAGAATCTTGCTAGGCGTGGAGGACGGGCTGTTCCTCGGCGAGCCTGGCACATTCGTAACGGAACCGGGTACGGGATTATTATTGGCATCTCCACCGGCCACCGAGTTGATCCCCTGCAGCGCGTTGAAGCTCTGCATGACGAGATGAGAGGCGACAGACATCGTCAGCGGATTCGCAGACGCGAGAGGGACCGGGCCGACCGGGGATTTCTCGTTTCTGGCTGCCGCCATAGCGTTACCCGATTGATTCTCCACTCGAGCAGCCGCCGCCGTCGGCATTACCACGGATGCATTTTCTACTCGAGACATTGATTGCGTCGCGGATCGATGCTCTGCTCTCGGGGTCGAGCTCTCGCCGCGAGCCGACGATTGGCCGTTCGATGCCTGCACGGCTGACCTGTCCGCCGATCGACCGATCGCCGGGGTCGATCTGTCTGGCTGCGCCGAGTTCGCCAGCACTGTGGCCGACTGGCTCCTCCTCGCGGCCTCTGTTCCGCTTCCGTTCAGCACCGGCGTGGCCGGAAACGGGGCGGTTTGCGAGCGATGCCGCCTGGCAGGAGTCTGCGGGCTCTTCGGCAAACTTGCGCTGCCAACCGCGTCTGTCCGCGAGATGGTCTGGTCTTGGAAGTCTCGGGGAGACTTGGCGAGTTCCGGAGTTCCGGAGTTGGACCTGGGGTTAGGTCTCAAGTTGGACTTGAGGCTGTTACTGCTGGTCGGGATCGATTCGTCTTGAGACGTGTTGAGGCTGCTCAGTGGGGAATTATTCATCGTCTGTCCGTTTACCAGTGACTTTTGATCCTCGATGCTGGATTGGCTTCTCAGAGGCTGGGTCGTTGCAGGTGGTATAGCGTTTCCATTGCTGACGTTTTTGAGAACTGCCAGGTTAGGGTCGCCGTTGGGGAAACTGGCGAATCTGGCGATGGTTTCGCGTTCTTCGGCCACTTGTGGAGCAAACGGGATCTTCCTTTCGGTTGGCTGTCGCTTGACAGGCTGCCGCTTCCAGGGTGACGACGCTTCAGTCCTGTTTCTGTGCTTCCTCTCCTCGTTCTTCACCACTGGACGCGTCTCTGGGAAGTGTCTGCCTTTCATGGTGCTAGGTTCCTCGTCCTCGTCGTCGTAGATGCGTATGTCCTCGTTCAGATCCGACTCGTCCTCCTCGTACTCCTCGACTATCGCGCTCGCTTGGATCCACTCCCTGATACGATCCTTTTTCTTCGTCCTGTCTACCGTGGTTTCGATACCGTACGTGGTCAGGGTGTGAAGCAGTTGATTCTTCTCCTCGAGAGAGCTGTGGAAGCTGTACATCGAGGGGCACAGCTCGTCCCGCTCGTCCGCGCCACCTGTGCAAACGGCGAATCAATGAGGCTGGCACGAGAACAGGGGAAAAAGAGAACGGGTCTTTAATTCGGATCGATCCTTACCGTTCATGGTCTTCTCCGCGCCGAGTTTCGCCAGCCACCTGTCCTCCAGGTATTTGTTTACCTCCAACACGCTCGCTGGCCGCTTCTCAGCCTTTGGGTCCAGCAGACGTTTGAACATTCTACAGGGTGTCGAAAAGAATCGGTGAGAATGGCAGAAATTACGTTTCGGGTTAGCCAAGTATCGCTGAACTCTTAGAATTATTAGAAATTAGGGGTAAATTCGAATATGATCTTCGAATTCCCGAATCTTTCGCGAATTTTTGGGGTCCAATAGACGTTCGAATATTCTGGAGGAGAGTTAGCGAATATGACAGAAATTAGGATTCAGATTAGCGAAGTTTCGCTGAACTTTTGGAGTTATTATGAATCTATAATTTTAGGGGTAGGTTCGAAATTGATGTCTTCAAATCCCAGAATCTTTCGTGAATTTTTGGGGCCCAGTAGACGTTAGAATATTCTAGAGAAGAGTCAATGAAATTGGCAGAAATTAGGATTCAGGTTAGCGAAGTTTCGCTGAACTTTTAGAGTTATTATGAATTTATAATTAAGGGTGGGTTCGAAGCCAATCTTCGAATTCCCGAATTTCTCGCAAATTTTTAAAATTTCTTTCGTAGAACGAACATACTAATTTGGCTGTCCTTAAAATAATAAAAATCTTGAAAATGACGGAAATTGGGATTTAGGTGAATGAAGTATCGCTTAACATCTTAGAATTATTATTGCTCTAAAATTAGGGGTAGATTCGAACCTGATTTTCGAGTTCCCGAATTTTTAAAATTTCTCTCGTGGAACGAACAGATTAATTCGGTTGTCGTTAAACAATGCGTGTCCACGAGATTCATCATCTCGCTACGTTTAATGATTCTGTTCACCCTGAGACAATAAACCATTTAACTCGGGGGTGGGTTGCTTTCAGTCGGTCCCGTGCTTATTTCGAAAACAAACCGAAGCTAAAACGGAAACATTTCTCGGTATTGCTCTTTACGCGACCTCAGAATATAATCCGTTGCACCGTGAACCCTTTTGCTTGTTTTAACATGTTGGATCAATCCTGAAAACGCCAGCCTTTTTATGAACTCCCTCTGCACATTTAACCCGCGATCTCGTTATCCGTCCATTTATACCTTTAGCTTCCTATTTAGTCAGGTTACCACTAGCCACGAGCATTTATTTTATTTACTCCACGAAATCTGCCAGATGACGCGTAATTACACATCGAGATTGCAGCGTTTTTCATTCGTCCACCCTGAAGAGAAAAATCTAAACCTTTATAATAGCAATAAAAAAATTGGCAATTTCATGTTTATTTAAATCACCCTACACCAATTTTATTATTCTTTTATAAATTTTTCCTTCAAAGTTGTCATACCTATTTTACGTAAAAATATATATCTAGACTTTTATAATAGCAATAAAGAAATTGGCAATTTCATATTTATTAAAATTAACCTACACCAATTTTATTATTCTTTTATAAACTTTCCCTTCAAAGTTGTCATACCTATTTTACGTAAAAATATATATCTAGACTTTTATAATAGCAATAAAGAAATTAGCAATTTCATGTTTATAAAAATTAACCTACACCAATTTTATTATTCCATCATAAACTTTTCCTTGGAAGTGGACACACTTATTTTGCGAAAAAATATAATCAAACTTCGAATTTATCGATTTTAAAACCGATTAAAACAGAGGGTGCATGATCAAGCTTGGATATTAAAATTGTCACATGCAATTATCATGAGAAAATTTTTCCAGCGATAATTTAACAAGCACTGGCGCCTGGTACGCAAGAAGAAACTGACCTCTGCGCCCGTGAGCTGATCAGCTGAAATAATTTCGGTTTCTTGGCTATGTTGAGCGTCGCGTTGTGCCAGTTTTGATATCTGGTGTAACGCGGGTCGTCCAACGCCGCCTTCTGCCACGGCAAGCATCCGGTCAGACAGACAAATAGGACAATGCCGAATTGCCAGACGTCGTGCGACGTGAGAGCTCTGAAAACGCCAAACGTAAATAAGCGCACGCGTGCATATTTTGTCATTCATGATCACGCAAGCCACGATTTCCACTGCAACCACGTCCCGTCTTCGTCCTTTCTCTGTTGACAGTGAATGGAGAAAGACGAACACGGAACGTCATCGTTGTGACGAATTTTTCGAAAGCCAACTTGAAAACGTAAATTCGCTTAGAGATTAACGCTATAACTATCAAAAGCGTGTTAAAATTGTCGATTTTTCGAGAGGTTCTTCGTTTCGAATTACTCGGTATGCGTGACAGCTTCAGGGAAAATTCACTTTCATCGAGATTGACCCGGGAAAGTTGCTGGCGAATATTTTACACGACAGAGAAAGAAAATAGACATGGTAGACAGCGTTCCGTTCATGTTTAACAGCGAAAAGGTTAAATTCGAGATACGCCTTTCGCATTGTCGATCGATCAAACATTTAACCACGGATTACATCAACGACAGATCACGTTTCGTCGTGCAAATGTTAACCCAAATATCTCTCCGATCCTCGAGCCAATTTCGATATACACGCTTCCCTGTTGGTGTTAACACTAAACCTACCACCACAGGTCAGATGACCGGTGGATGGAAAAATGAACGCGAAAAAGGAATAGAAGAAAATATCGAAAAATTGATGATACGTGTATTAAGAGAAATATCGAGCTGTCAGTAACTCATAATGTCAATAACTGAATGCGGAATTTTTAATATAAAATTAAAAAACTGAAAAGAAAATATTGAAAAATTGATAATACGTGTATCAAGAGAAATATCCAGCTGTCAATAACTGATCATAACTGTCAATAACTGAACGCAGAATTTTTAATACAACATTAAAAAACGGTCATTTAGGCTATGATAGATTTAATGTTAATTCTTTGAGCACGAATTCGACTCGTTGTAAATTTTTAAAATTGAAAATACGTGAAAATAGGTAATAAATAATTAAAATAAATTAAAATAAATTAAAACAAGATAGAAAGTGACGAAATAAAAAAGGATAAGGTTGGAAGGAAATGGAATAGAAAAAAGATATAATATCGAGAAGTCGATAACTGATAACACTAAATGCAGAATTTTTAATAAAAATTTGAAAACAGTCATTTAAACTCTGATAGGTTCAATATTAATCCGAAATTAAAGAGGATGAGGTTGGAAAGAAATGGAATAGAAAAGGTATCGCATTGAGAAGTTGATAACTGATAACACCGAATGCAAATTTTTTAATAAAAATTTGAAAACAGTCATTTAAACTCTGATAGGTTCAATGTTAATTCTTCAAACACGAATCTGGCTGGTTGTGGTAAATAAGCTATACTAGTGAGGCGACTAAAATTGTACAATACTTAACACATCTGAAAATCTATATAAATCTTGAAAGCGTCTACTCTAATTTTATTCCGAGCGAAATTAAGATTCGGAATATGTGCTAATTGGAATGAAACGATTCTTCGAAATGCAGTTGTTCGAGTTCTACCAGTTGCGTGTGGCAATCTCGAATTATTATTTCGATTATTTCTGATAATGCTCAATCGTATAATTACTTGTACGTCTCGTCAGTGTCGATCTGCAGTACCTCGGGCGGCGAGTATGGCAGCCACTCGTTGTGTCGCCTCACCACGGTGTTTATCCGTCTGGTCTCGCCGAAGTCGCACAGCTTGATCCGCGAGAAGTCGCTCCTGAATACGAGAATATTGTCCAACTTGATGTCACGGTGCACCAATTCGCGACTGTGGATATGGTGCACTGCTGCGGCCAGTTGCCGGGCCACCCTCTTCGAGTGAAGCTCGCCTAAGCCAGTCTCTGTCACGTTCGACGTTAGGTCTCCTGGAATGATGGATTACACGAACAGGTATTAGAAAATTTTACTCGCAAATTCTACGTAGGAAGCTTTCGTTACACCATGCTTTATATATCAAGGTGGAAAATTTGACAGTTTTATTGAAATAAACAGAGGTATTCTCTACTATACTATATACCTTTGCGAAGGTTCTGTCAAGACACTCGAATTACTTAGACTGGATTGACAGATAATTTTTGGCCCCTCAAATCCGAACTGAAATTGAAGATTTTTTCGCTTCATAAATTAATAATAGAAAATTTGACAGTTTCGTTGAAATAAACAAAGGTATCCTGTACTATGCTGTATTCCCTTGCGAAGGTCCTGTCAAGACACTCGGATATAACTTAGACTGGGTTGGAAGATAATTTTTGGGCCCTCAGACCCGAATTCGAATAGCAGATCTTTTTGCTTCATAAATTAAAATAGAAAATTTGGCAATTTCGTTGAAATAAACAATGGTATCCTGTACTATGCTGTATTCCCTTGCGAAGGTTCTGTCAAGACACTCGGATATAACTTAGACTGGGTTGGAAGATAATTTTTGGGCCCTCAGACCCGAATTCGAATAGCAGATCTTTTTGCTTCATAAATTAAAATAGAAAATTTGGCAATTTCGTTGAAATAAACAAAGGTATCCTTTGCTGTGCTGTGCTCCCTTGTGAGGGTCCTGTCAAAACACTTAGATTACTTAAACTGGATTGACAGACAATTTTTGGGCCCTCAAATCCGAATTTAAGCTACAGATTTTTTCGCTTCATAAATTAATAATAGAAAATTTGACAGTTTCGTTGAAATAAACAAAGGTATTCTGTACTACGATGTATTCCCTTGCGAAAAAAACTGTCAAGACACTCGGATATAACTTAGACTGGGTTGGAAGATAATTTTTGGGCCCTCAGACCCGAATTCGAATAGCAGATCTTTTTGCTTCATAAATTAAAATAGAAAATTTGGCAGTTTCGTTGAAATAAACAACGGTATCCTCTGCCATGCTGTACTTGTTGCGGAGGTTCTGTCAAGACACTCGGATTACTTAGACTGGATTGACAGATAATTTTTGGCCCCTCAAATCCGAACTCAAACTGAAGATCTTTTCGCTTCATAAATTAAAATAGAAAATTTTGCAGTTTCGTTGAAATAAACAAAGGTATCCTTTGCTGTGCTGTGCTCCCTTGTGAGGGTCCTGTCAAGACACTTAGATTACTTAAATTGGATTGACAGACAATTTTTGGGCCCTCAAATCCGAATTTAAGCTACAGATTTTTGTGAAAAATTAGGTAGTTTGATTAAACTAATTGATTAAATAATATAAATTTGGTATCCTCTATTATGCTGTCAAAAGCATTTGATTTGGCATTCGTAAGTTCCATCGACTAAATTGCAAAATAATTTTCGCATCTTCGAAACGTGAATTCGAACTGCAGATTTTTACATAAATATTCGAATTCCAAAGGGGGGACTATTCGATTTCCTTTCAGAATATATTCCAGTATTCGAATGTACACGTTTAAAAATTTTCCAGGATTCATAAGACGATGCATCATGTCCGCGGCGCCTAGAAGCTCCACCGATACCAAGCAGGCTTCATCAACGATTCATCAGCAAGAAGCTATAGAGATTTCAGACGATGGCATCAATTTATCCGGACTCCTCTCGTAGCTATCGGGATTCCTCCGCATCAAATATTCCATTATCCCTCGCATTTGAGCATCCGAGTCCCCGGGAACATCACTTTTATGGCGTTAATCATACATGCGCGACGCATTGGCTATTCCACATTCGCGCATCGTCGTAAAATGGAGGCCACCGTCCTGCATACGATCGAGCAGACGGCGAGTTAGGCTAGGTAGTGTCAACGCACAGGGACTCACCTAAGGGAGCGTACTCCTGGCTGAAGACGTAGAACCCTGCTGTCTCGAAGGCCACGTCGTAGGTGGTGATGATGTTCCTGTGCGCAGCCAGGTGCAGGCCGTAATGGAACTCACGGAAGAAGTCCGTGATGCCGGTGTACGCCTTTGGCAGAGCCTTCAGCACCATCTCGGTCTGGGTGCTCCGGTGCTCGGTCAGCAGGATCTTCCCGAACCATCCCTCGCCGACGATCTGCAGGATATCGAACTCGTCGATCAAATTCACCTGTTCGACAGAGGAAAGCAATACCGTTCAGCTGGTACGGCATAGGCAAATGGCGGACGTCGAGGCTCGCAACAGCTGCTCTTTTGTCCCGACTCTCGGACGCTGGATCTGAACGAGAGACGTAAGAGAAGTCTGTTTTTCACACCATTTTCATACCAGTTCGATGGATTAGGTTCTTTCGAAACGAGACCAGAGCATTAGCTTCTCTCTGACTCTTTTGACACTGACCAGACGCGAAGTGGCGACCTCGAGTATGCACACAGGATGTTTTCTCGAAGCCCCACGAGACCTAAGCCCTGTTATTTTTCTGGTAGAATGAGGTGTAATTTTGATAATTAATAGATGTAATTTTATTTTGACAATTGGAGGGCGATACTTGAGATTTAATGGTGCTTCTTTGAAATAGAATTTTGGATAGTTTTGTGGATTTTGGTTTCAATTAATGATAGATGATGTACGTATTTTAGTGATGATCAGTAGAGATGGATTTCATGGATTTCGCACTTTTCTCGTAATTAAAAATTATTGAAATTTTAATAGGTAAAGTCGACATATGTAAAGTCACGTACAGTATGCTGTCAAAATATTCGATTCATGTGTGTGTCACGAATATTCACCCAAAACTGCAGTTTCTATAAAAATCCTCGATTATAGTATTATACGTTGTGTACTCTAATACAGGGTGGTCACTGGAAGGCTGAATAATATAAATCTAGAATAACTTCTACAAACACGTATTTTTATTTAGGAATATAATTAATAAATTTTAATCCAAAAAAAAAGAAAATGAAAAAGTAAAGATTGGAAATGAACGTGTTACGACTTTTCCAAATCCTTCAGTTTTTCATTGACTACCCTACATTACCCAACAATTAATGAAACAAGATGAACCTTTAAAATTACGAATTTAGGTCTAAAAACTGTCAAGCCTTTTATGTTCGAAAACTCTTAGGCATGTAATAAAACATGTAAAAAGACGTGTTTTATATGTATCTTCTTAGTAATTAGTCCATATATAGTGACAGTCACGGGGTAAACTGTCAATGAGTTAAACTTAATTTTAAAGTCGTGACGTACGTCAAATTGACTCTTTATCAATAATAACGACGCGAAATCGAATTGACTTTAAGTCACCACTATTTATATGAAATCAATTTGCTGTCAGGTTACTACTAGTGCACTAAAAATAGTATTCACCACTTAGAATTTAAATTGAAAAATTCACTATTTGACCAAGCTCGTGTCAAGCCTCATAGCTTGCCAAACTTTCTCCAAAATCTGCCATTTTAAGATCTGCCGATCTCACCAACTTCCGGGATCCACCTTCACCCACATTTCAGAACCGTGCTCAATCTCCCACCTGAAAGCCGCGGTGTCATTCCCCATCATCTGCCAATTCCCACTCGACCAGCCGCGAAACCGTGTCAACGCGCGATTCCATCGCACACCGAGAAGGCATGATTATACTTTACTCGAGACGCGTTCCGAAAACCTGAAAAAGAAGCTGTCTCATTCGCAGTGACACATTTCGGAGCCTAACGCCAGCCACTGTTGTCATAGACTGCTCGATGACAGCAGCCTGATCCCATTCACGAGTCCTCGGCCCGACGAAGTACGTACGTCGACCGACTGTGGGAGAACGCGACTTGACAGTATCTTGCGAACAATGGAAACGAGCTGGCGACGTTTTACTGCACGGTGAGCCGCAAACAGGCCGTTCGCACGACTCGTCGAGGTGTTAAAGGTTACAATCGCGTCGCGTACTGTCATAAAGTGGGCATCGGGCGAGAAAGTTGGTTTAGTGCCAGGAAACGAAGTGGAGATCGGCCGCGTTGCTCGGTTCCGTGGTAAATGTTGCACGTACGGCCACTATTTCTGGATCTCGACAGCCACAATGCGGCTGGAAACGCGGCCACGTGAGTTACGCGACGAGTAATTCGACGATTGTTAATACCACTTAATCCCGGGATCCTTCTGATCGGGTCAGACGATCCGCCTGGATTTATTCGAGGACCGTCGTTGTTTCACAGCCTGTCCATTCCGCTCATGATTCATCCGCAGACGGAGATCGCGGCCAAGAATGCTGGCTTTCTGTTCGACGCTCGGTTAAGGAAAAGCCGAGGTATCGCGCGCGCTGGTCCATGAGCAGAGTCCAATGCCAGCATCTTTATTCGGTTGCTTTATGGGACAATAAATGTTGCGGGAACAAAAGCCTCGTTGCTGAGTTATATTAAGGCGTCTTCAGGAGCTGAGCGCTTCGCGGCTGCCTGCTGATCCGCGGCATTCATTAGGCAGAATGGACGACCTCGAAGTTGCTAAATATATTATAAAGGAGTATGATGAAAATAAATAGACGCATATAATCGTGTTTCTGTCCCGATAGGAGTCAATTAATTTTGCCAAGATATATATTCTTGGTAATTGCGAGAGGATTCTGAAATTTCCCGGTCTTTTTCGTGTTACGAGAATCTAGCATTGATAAATGATATTGATTAAAGCGATGTTACCGGTGACTCGATGTCTGTGATAATCGAACGTCAATTTTCGACGAATATTCAATAATTAATGGAATTTATCGAACGTCACGTCGAAAATTATTTTATTGTTATACATAGTTCTATATTATTATTACTATATAGTTCATTAAATGTTGGGAAAACGGGAAAATGGAGAAATAAAAATTTCGAGTCTCTGGTTGAACATCAGAAAGTGCAGAAATTGCGGAAACGAGAGGTGTAAATGTACATTTCTCGACGAATATATTCAATAATTGGCAAGCATCTGTCAAACGTCGCGTGGGAAATTCAAATATTCCCAGACTTCATCTAGTCGTCTCCAAAGTTGGCTAAATGACGTGATATCTCTATTGTTAATCATGCGTGGATTTTCCATGAATATGCGATAACTGTCAAAACCCATCGAACGTCGAAAATTATTTTATTATTAAATATAGTTCTATCTTATTATTATTATATAGTTCATTAAATATCGGGAAAAGGGGAAAATGGAGAAATAAAAATTCCGAGTCTCTGGTTGAACATCAGAAAGTGCAGAAATTGCGGAAACAAGAGGTGTAAATGTACATTTCTCGACGAATATATTCAATAATTGGCAAACATCTGTCAAACGTCGCGTGGGAAATTCAAATATTCCCAGACTTCATCTAGTCGTCCCCAAAGTTGGCTAAATTTCGTTCAGTCGAAAACATGAATTCCAAATGACGTGATATCTCTATTGTTAATCACGCGTGGATTTTATCTGTTCAGTCGAAAACATGAATTCCAAATGACGTGATATCTCTATTGTTAATCACGCGTGGATTTTCCATGAATATGCGATAACTGTCAAAACCTATCGAGCGTCGCGTCAGGGGCTTGAAAATCTCCACCCGCCGCTCTTTATCATTTCCAGAGCTCTCTAAATGCCGCTAGGTCAGCAACTGCAGGCACACACAGATCCCACGAATCACGCGATATTCCAATTGTTAATCGAACGTGAATATTCTCCAAATACTCGTTAACCGACGAAACGCTGTCAAACGCTATGTCAAGGATTGAAAACTCGCCGGACCGCTCTTTATCGTCTCCAGAGTTCGTTAACTGCCATGATGGCGGGAAAGGAACTGATAATTAAATTCCAGCGGAATACGCGAACAATCGGAGAAAGCCACTGAAGGATCGATTAATCGTTTCATCCAGGGTACACTCGAAATCCGCGTTCGTCGCGTTTGTCCTTCCCATTCGACTGGACCAACAGCCTCGTTCAATCTGGCCGATCGAAAAATCATATTACCTGGCAGAGCATCAAAAGGGGATGGCGGGACGATCGGGACGGACACGCAACGAAGGCGGAGGGTGAAAACGGGGGAGGCTGGTCGTATCACGAGGAAGATTCGATTCGCCAATCGAGTTACCTTCTCGAGCTCGAACTCTCGTATCCTGTGAATGGAGCCGCCGATGGCCTTCTTCATTAAGCTCATTCTGACGGACGGTCGTCGATCCTGCGCCACGGGCCCGAATTGTAGCCAAAAGTCGCGTTTAACTGTCCGCTGTGGTCGACCAGGAGATCACGAGCCCCACATGCTGTCATTTCGCGGTGAACGCTCCTCCTCCGTCGATCAACCCTCGATGTCCTTCTTCGATCGATGGATCCTTCGTCTGAAACGATTGCATCGATGAGAATGGGATTCGAACATGGTCTCTTTGGTAATTAGTAATTTATCAATTTATCAGCTCCCTTGATGAGATTGTCAATATTCATTGACAATGAGAATCTTGAGAATCTTCTTATTCGATCAGTTGACGACTTCAGAACGCTTTTCAGATTTCGAACTTCGTTTTATTTTTGTTAGTACTGGAACCTATTATTACTAGACACGCACCTGTTTTAAGATTCCTCAAGACCTCCACGGTAAACCTACGTTCAGATTCGCTTTGAGACTTTACACAACGTCGCATTCCGCAACGCTTCTCGATCAAGAAGAAAAGAGAGTATCTGTTTATTTCTGTAATATGACAGGTTAATGGTGAAAACGGGATTAGAATTTTCAATGCAACTGCCGGGCAAAGTTGCTGCAATTTGTCAGATTAACTTCCATACAGCGCTCCCTCGAACCGTTACGTAAACGACGTAGAATTAGAAGCTCCATACAGCCTGGCGGCGTTTTGTAACAACAAGATCCTGTTGAGAATTAAAGCGTTCGCCAAAGTGCTGGGAGAAATGGTAGGGGAAAGTTTGCCGAAAGCCACTTAAACCGCGATCACGTGCTTCCGCGTAGCCGCAAAGCGAAAGCGTAAGTTTTAGATAATGCGCCCTTTGTGCAGCCGTGCAGGGTAACGACGCGTTTTCACGGAGTTACAAAGCTCGCAAGTGGCACGGCCTCCTCGTGAATGAGCAGAAGCTGAAGAGAGAAACGTTCCGGCGAGACGGAGAGGAGAGACGGGCGTCGGAGGGAGAGGGAGAGAGGAAAAAGGGAAGAGAAGTTTGGTGAATGACGCCTTGCGTCGTTGGAAGGTCCGTCCGCCACTTCGTCTCGAAGGAAAAAGATACGGTGGACGCGGGCGTATCGCGTTCAGTGATCGTGAAAAGAATCGAGCCAGGGTCGTTTGATGTTCAGCTACTTCCGATGGAGAACGCGTTTTCGCGATACGGAGCGCCGCATTCAGGCCATGAAACATTCATGCCGACGCGGACGATGAAAAAAAGTATCGATGCAGCGGAGAAAAATAACGCGGAACGTGGAAACGCGGCTCGAAAGTCCGCAGACGGCTGAGAGGAATTAAAACTGTCATGGCGGCGGCTCCTAGTTACTCTCCGGCGGCGCCACCGGCCACTTTTTCCTAGCAATCGAATTTTCACCTTCCTTTCTAATATTACACATCTAAACATTTAAGAACCGCTTTAAAATTTAGTACAATGGTATTAACTTATTAAATTCGACATTTTATAACCTTATAATTCCGATATTAACAATTTCTTCATTTAAATTGATAATTATTACAATTATCGAGAGAAACGTTAAGAAAAGGAATAAGCATTATAGCAAACAGTCAATAGTAGCTACTATTAGACGAATTCTTACTAATTTTTACTAAAGTATACTACTATAAGTTCAATAAACATTGTTAACTATATGGATAAAAGCATTGGAACTTTACAGAGGTTAATGTATTTATTTCTTCATAGGATAGGAAACCCATTAGACAGAATACACAGAGTTGATGTAAAATTTTAGGGAGTCAACAAAATTTAGGGACACACCATAGTTGTGGACATTTATAAATTACTATATTGCAACAAAAGCCATTTCACGTTTTAAATCAATGTTTAGCTGTGGTATCGTGGAATTTCAAGATACCTATGAATGAATTCGCCAGTAAGGCTGAACGAGGGTCATATAATCAGAGAATATGTTACAACGAATTTTTTGGAAGAGGTTAGGGAAAGGGTGTCTCGTCGCGAGCCCCGAAGAGACGGTCGTCAGAGTCGGTGTACACGTGCCGTGGACAAAAATAGCGTCACAGAATCCGGGCCATAATTCATAGTTGTATATTATTCGTCCGAATAAGTTGTTCCTGCTTGCACTCTCGCGCCGAGGATGCTATTTCTTCTCTAATGGAGGATCTAAGGCTCGTATTTTCGATCCGCGATAATTATTGCGCAAGTTGGAACACAGCGAAGCGCCGCGGATCTCGGCCGGCATACGCGTACCTCTCGCCATTCGCCAAATTTCGCTATATCGCTCAGTCCGTGTTCGCCGGAGACCTTTCTCTAGCACCTACATCGATTTTGCCCATCGTCGAACTCGCGAGAAGCCGATCGAAACTAAAAATAATGCTCATACCTAGGAACGAGCCGACCTCAAGACTATTGTTACCCTGTCAAACGGAGGAACCAGCAAATATTCCTCGCGTACATTAATCGTGGCGAAAAATATCGCTTGACGAGTAAATAAATTACGCTTTCTAAATTAGCCTAGAACGCCGGGGGAATTAATAACCGGCGATTTATCGGGAAAGAAATCGAACTGGTTGTGGCGCGTTGGAAATAGCTCGGGATACTTAACCGTAGCAGAAAGAAAGCAGAGCGAAAGAACTGGTCGAAACGATGATCTGGCCCAGCGCAGCCGGTGTCTAAGCAGTCTTTTATCGCACTTTCCCAGAGCACAGGCTTACTTATCACTTTCTCTGAGCGAGTACAAAGCTTCACCAAACGCCTCTTCTGCAACTTCCCTGCACTCACTCGCGCACACTCCGCCACTCGGTTCCGAGAATCCGCTCGGCCAGAATCCGACCCGGGGCCGCGATTAATCCGCGAGAATGTCAGCGGCACGGCTCCCTCGGCCACCTAGTTAACCCTCCGCGATCCTGGGACCACCACGAAACACCGGTCGAATTTTATTTCCTCTCCCCTTGCGAGACGAGGGTCGGGTTCGATACGCTGGTGCAGCTGGCCCGTAACCGTGTCCGCCGAGATTCGTGATTTTACAGCGACTCCGGTGTACGCTGCACTTTTCCACTGTCTGCAGTATTTATAAAACACCGACCGGAAAGCGCGACCGCCGAGCTGATTTTGGCGCCGAGCCGGCTTGGCCGCGCGCTCACGCCCCGACGCGGACGTCGTCTACGCGGCTCGCGATGCCCCGACCGATCGGTCCCTGCGGCGATGATCCACGATTCCAGGCAAATCGACCACACCGTGTGACGTCCCGACGCCTACGCGTTACACACGGAATCTCTAGGCGGACCACGTGGCCGGAGGTGGCTGAACGCGTAATCGCGGTCCCGGGAAATCGATGCGTCCGCGTCGCGACACGATCAGCTTCCTGTGAGCTTTATGGGAGCGATGACTAATTCGCGAGTTATTTTCACGTGTGGTAAACGCGGCTCTCGAAACGAGGGATAAGTGGAACGGGATATCTCACTAGCAGCGCAACGCTCGAGCGTTATAATCGCGCTGATCGCGGGTACGCGTGGCCGTTTCGGCGCGAGAAGTCGTTTCCGTGGGTGTTGTTTCGTTAGCGGTAATATTCGGGGCTGATTGCGTTGCGTTCGCGGAATTTTACTCGAGCAATTTTGCGGAAGCTATACGGCCAGACGATTTGTCATTGAGCAAGAATAATTTTCGGGTATATAAAAGAAGCCGCGGGTATCGTTCTTGTAGGTCTGCTCGGCGTGCCTGGAGAATGGTTGATGCACATTGGGACAAACGATTATTCTTCGTCGACAGGTGAGTCTTTGCTTAGGGGTTATGTAATTAGCGTAATTAATAGCTTGTGCGCGATTAAAATTCTTCCGCCAATAAATGCTGCGTACGCTGTAGACATCTGTCGGTAGTTCAGTCAACTGCGGCTTTCTTTTGCTTTCGAGTACCCTCGGATCGACTCGGTCGGTAATCGGGATTTTTCTACAGTACCGGGAGATGATTGGTTCGATGTACTACACTCGTAATACACTTGTGGAGATCGGTAAATCAGTGTAAGCATCGAAACTTTGTATTTTAGCGTTAAAAATTATTTTTCGTATAATTGGATTGAAAGTACTATAAATACAAATTTATAGCGGTTTTGTGTATATATTTCAGTTCATTTGATGTTTTTTGTATAGCGGTGTGATTTTCTTTCGCGTATTTAAATTATGAGATGTGAAATGCGGGTAGAAAGCGATGTAGGTGTTTCAAATTTTCGCGCGGTGAAGTAGCCTCGGTAGTGCGCCACGTGCGCCAGTAGGTGGCAGCAGTATGAACGTGCAGACGCGACAGAGTATTCGTAGCTCGAGTCCGGTGAATACGTTTTCTCAGCTTTCCCGTGTCACGGTGTCGCGAGCGCGTCTCTCGTTGACGCTCGCGGTGTCCGTCGGTTTTATCTAATCAGTGGAGGAAAATTAAATTCCGCGAGAGTGTGAGTACCGGTCGCAAGTGTTCGGTCGAACGTGCGTGGCGTGCACGAGATCGG